TTAAGCATTATATGGTGTTGGTGCAATATTTGCCACAACATTTATGAAATTGAATCAAGGTCTATCCTTTTCCTTGACAACTTTCCAGTGAACTTCGTTGTGTTTATGATGGCTAGAAACGAGCTCCTTAGGGCTTCAGATGAGGTTTCTACAATCTGGAGGATTTGAAAATAAGTCGAAGACTGGAAGGGGATCTCCGGGGGTGTCGATCATCCAATGCTTAAGTTAGTACTTGCTGAATAGTTACAAAGAGATATTTTTGAACATATATTACTTACGTTGGTCGTTTTCCCTTGACTCTTTATAGTTGGTTTGGAATAGTAGTTGTTTGGGAGTGAACTCTAGGCTCTCTCATTTATTTAAGGACTCCTTTTGTATGAGGAGTCTGTTCTCCTATTCAATGTAACAGACGGGAGTTTCCTTGTGGAGAAGTCTCTTGAATTCCAGATAAGCAGATTAGGAGGCTGAGACTCCCCAGGAACAAGGGGTCTCAGTCTTTCTCCCTCCAGTCATGAGCTGCTAAATTTTATTAGGAGGTCTTTTGACTTTTAAACTGTGGATAACCTTATCCTCCGTTGTCTCTTTGTGAACCAGTCAGATGAGACAGAGTTGATTACCAGGATTTGCCATGCTCTGAGTTTTCCCTATTCAGTCTAGATTTTACCTGTCCTCAAGGGCAGAGCCAGAATTTTTGTTTATCCCGGGCTAAGTTAAGCATTCATACAACTAACAATGGTTGAAACATGTTGAAACATATTATCTACGTACAGTCTTTTATTGTTGAAACATGTCAAATGAAGGATCAGCCAGCATCATGACAAAATAGTAGAATAAGAGCATTATTCATGATCCATTTTATGCCATAAAAGTTGGAATGCAAGTATGATTGATGTAAGCAATGTAAAACAGAACTAATCTAGCCATATTAGTAATAGTATATAAAGAAATATGACTTAACAGGTCCAGAACCATGCTGATACAGCAACAAATTTGTCCATCGAAACTAAGCAACCATGGCACACAATAAAGCCACTCCTAGTTTCATGGCAAAGTAGAACATAGCAGCAGGTATATAAATGCATATAACACCCATCCCCTACATAAAAGTAACTCTTAAGTTCTCTTAGTTCATAAAAATGATAAAACCAGTTGTAAGAGCATGCTTTTGTTCTGCAGGATGTATAGCATACAAGGGCAGATGGCCATTGACAAAAACGATGACAATCAGTATAAGTAAATGCAGGGGATCAAACAATTGAGTATCTGGAAGTAGATTCAACATTTTGGTGTTAGTCATAAGAGATATTATAACTCCACACAGAAATTGTGCCAGTGCATAAATCTCTATGTAGCAAACAGAAAATACAAGCATAACAATGACTTTCTTAATAATGCACCTTCCACAAACACCCATTTTAAAGTAAACTGCATATTTAGGCACAACTCTCTTGAGGGTCAAATAAGTAGGGGTTAATCATTGTTCTGGCAGCAGTGACCTTTGTATGATGAATAACAATAACACAATGCTGCTTATTATTCTCCTATTCCTTAAGAAAATATTGCAATGGATCAGCTTCATCAATAGCAGTCAGGTGATGCACTAAAAAACCATTTCCACATGCAATCACAGCTAAAACATAGGTAATCAATATCCGGTCCTATTTTCTACAATCTCATATACATTTCTTGAATTCTCAAAAATTAATTAAAAGAATGATGACCTCAAGTGCATCACTGCATGCATTATCACTTCCAAACCTCTAAATGGACATCAAGTGGTAAACACATTCTAGCTCATTTTTATTGATCATGATTTAAACTCTAAAGTCTACAAAAGATTTCCAGCTGGAAAAGAGGTCAAGAGGCCATACAAATGTGTGTGTGATTCAAGGGCATTTGATCGAACAGCTTGTAGGCATTTGAACAAAGAGCAAAACCAAACAAATAGACGCAGGGAGACATACATACGGAAACGAAAAGCAAAACCAAACAGAGAGGGGAGAAGAGGAGGTGATAAATCGTACCTATTGGGGCAGGGCGCGCGCGAGAGTGGCAACCTGAAAGAGATGGTGTTTGCGCAAAAGAGGGATGGGGGGAGGGTGTTTGGGTTGAAGTTGCAACCTGAGAGAGAAGAGACCGAGAGAGAGCCGTCTGAAGAGAGGAAGTGACTGTGTTGCAGGTAGTCGTTGCTTTAGGTTGGGCTAGGTTGGGTTGGCTCTAATAAAAAAAAATTTTACCCTGGGCTTCAGCCCACTAATAGCTCCGTCCTTGCCTGTCCTCCAACGGTAACTTTCAAGTCAAACAGCTTTTGTAAGACCTTTCTTGATGTTGTATTTAATTTTTTCCGTCTGTCGATCGTGTGTCAAGTTACTTTTTAATTTTTTTCCATTACTTCCTTGAGAAACGCATATGGCTTACGTGGGAACATCTTGTCAGTTTAAATGAGGCGATTTCTTGTAACCACCATTCCCTAGGCTATTTAAATTCACCAAGCTCTGGTTCAATTACCCAAAAGATTACCGTTGAGAGGTTTGGCGAGCCTTGAAGAGGATAGGAAAGCATATCCTAATAATAAGCTATGTCCCACCAAGTTGTCCCATAGAAGAATGAAAATAAGATTATCCATTGTTTGAAAATCAAAGCACCTCCAAGTCAAGGTCATCAACAGGGCTGAGACCCCTCATTCCAAAAGAAGTCTCTGCCTCTTATTAGCTTATCTAGGATTCAAAAGACTCCTTATGAGGGAGCCTTTCCCGCCTACAACAATGCTCAGGAGAATAAACTTCAAACATAAAAAGAGTCTGCAAAAGGAAAAGAGGACAAAGACTCCCCAAGCAGCAGAAGTCTGATCTTCCCAGAACAATGGAGGAGCCTAGAGTCCATTCCCCAGCAACCATTTATTCAAAACACTAGAAAAGGGAGCCTACGGAGAAGACCAGAGGTATGTAACAACTATTCCTGAATATTCCTTAAGAATTCTTCCGGAAAATACTAACTTAAGTATCGGAGGGTCGACTCCCAAAACTCCCTTCTCCAGTCTGAAACTTTTTTTCAAGTCTGCCAGCTTGCGAAAACCTCATTAGGAACCTTGGAGAGCTAATTCCAACTATCAAAAAGTTAATTAGACTTATCGAAAAGTTGACAAGGATCAAGAAAATCATATATTCAGCTTGTGTAAAAGTTGGGACAAATTTTGCACCAACAATTTGGCACTGTCTATGAGAATTGACTAATAATTTTCTGTGATTCTTACAACTTCCTAAAGAAGAACGATCATGGATGATGACTATCAAGTCAATGGGTGTTGCTAGAGATGATCCCCATAGTAAGCAACATTATCGAGGAAAGCGCGGAGGAGACAATCATGAATGAGTATGACAGAGCTCCACTAACAAGTATGGTAGAACTCTTGTCTAGAGCTCAGAACCATATGAATGCAAATGATGCATTGAACGCTAGAAAAAAGAGGCGAAGATCGCTCTTCAAAAAAGAAGCGAAAGGATCAAGAAGCATGACAAAGCTAACGCCTCCAAGAAAGGAAAAACAGATTGTGTACCAGCAAGAGAGAGATTGAGACCTCGCTTCCCACCAAACAAGTTTCAGGGGAACACTCCTCTTAACACCTCAGTTAAGCAAGTCATTTTCTAAGTACAGGATGATAATGTATTCAAATGGCCTGGGAACCTTAAGACTCCCCCTCACAAACAAGCAAGGGATAAATATTGCTAGTTTCATCGAGACCATGGCCATGATACAAAGGAGTGCATCATCCTGAAGGACGAAATATTAACAACTAATCCAACAAGACCATTTGAGAAGGTTCGATGACACAAACAGAAGGGAAGAAAGAGCTCCCCCAGCAAAGCCTCACGAACATCAATAACCCTTAGAAGAGATAAAGGTAATCTCCATAGGGTTAGCAGCTAGCGGAGATAGCAACTTAGCCAGAAGAGCTTATGCGAGAAAAGCTCAAACAAATGTTGAAGAGATCTACTTAGTACATCTAGGAAAGGTACCCCATATGACCTCACTAATAACTTTCACTGACAAAGATCTCAAGGGTTTGTTTGGTTAGGAAGAAAAAAATAATGAAAAGTGAAAATGATAGAAAGAGAAGTGAAAGAAAAAAAACTGATAGAAAATATATTTTTATACATATATTTGGTTAGAATGAAAAATTTACTAGAAATTTTTAAAAAAATTTCATTCTATTATTTGAAAGAAAGAAAAATTATAAGAATTTTTTTATAATTGTCTAAATTACCCTTAATTATATTAAATCGGTTTTAAAAGGAAAAAATATGTAATTATAATTAAAAGTTAAAAAAATTTCAAAAAATAACTCGAAACTTAATTTTAAAACAATCACTAATACAAAGATCTTTAGCCTAAATTATATGATTAATCAAATTCATACCAAAATTTTTTAGAATTAATAACCAATAAAATATTTTAAGAAAAATAAGGGTAAAATAGGAAGTTAGATATAAATCATAACTTTCTTGCATTTCCTTGTATTTTTTGCAAGAAAAAAAAGTTGGTTATTTGTGAGAAAATTCAAGCATGAAGGAAAATTATTTTCTATCATTTTCCTTTTCATACAAACCAAACACATGAAAATTTTAAAAAACTTCTCTTTCTTGCATTTTCTATCATTCTCCCGCTAAACAAACGAACCCCAAAGAAATCTGCTTCCTTCTTGATGACCCTTTAGTAATTTCTATAATTGCATCAAACCACATTGTGTGAAGAGTCTTGATAGATAATAACTGTTCAACAGACATAATATTCACCAATGCCTTTGATCAACTACATATAGGAATGCTCAACCTCAAGCCTACAAAATCTCCCCTCGTCAATTTTTTTTTTTTTTTTTTTTGGGTGGGGGGGAGAAAGAGAGTATATTCAAGGTCAGATTTCCCATGATGTTTAGTACAGAATGTTGTTTTTTAGGACTTGAAAGCTAAATGTATTAACGTGTTACTTTCTGGTGGGGAAAATGTATTTGTGTTTCTTACATGAAGGCATAAATTAAGTAAAAATAGACTTCTTCATATAACATATCTATACATATCAAGAAAAGAAATCAATTATCGCTAATTTAAAGTTTTTATATGCTTGGATGTGGTCACTAACAAGAGCTCTGAAATATACATTACAGGGATTTGATAGTGGAAAGCAGGTTATTGTGTACCGGATCCGAGATGTGCTCAAAAAGGTTCTGAACTGGGCCTTTACCTGTCAGAGCTGCCTGGGCATAAAAGCCTAACCAGGCAATCATAGCTAAGCGCCCATTTTTAATCTCTTTCACCTTCAGTTCCTCAAAAGCTTTAGGGTCTTTGGAAAGATTTAAGGGATCAAAAAGTGCACCCCCAGGATAATTAATGTCACCCGGCAAGTAAATTCCTAAAGGCTCCAGAGCCTCAATCCCACAATATCTTGCATATTCTGGTCCAACCTATACGCACAGAACAATAGGCTTCATTATAGTTAACCACAAAATCATAAACATAAAAAACAAAAAACCAATGCGAGCAAAGTCATCTGAGATTTTTTTTCCTTTAAGTAGCAGTCACCATTCAACAATTGTATGAGCAACTTTCACCACCTTATTAATGTTTTCACCTCCTAAAGATTCTTTCAATATTCCACTACAGGGACTGAAATCGCCTGAAATTTAAATCACTGTACACACAGTGACCAGTTGTATCACCACCAAGATAACTCTGCCAACCACATTAGATGCCCGACGCCCATCTCCAGCCATAAAAAAAGAACCCACCTCACCCTCCTTAGCCTTTCACCCTCTTTCTACACCGTCATATAATTATTCTTTATAAGTGTTTATACAAGACCCTGACCAGTGTGGGCAATATGCAATATGTGCCAAAATAGAGTAAGGTCGGCATAAATTTATTTTGCAAATATGCCTGTGTAATCATATCACTGCCCAATTTGATGCATTGACAACCACCCCACATTGATTTATGGTGATATCATTGACAATATGATCCAAGCCAGCTTGGAACCATAGATATTCAATCCTAAGCCCATTGAAGATTTAAGGATAAGTATAACATCATAAGCCCCTTGAATGGGATGGCTATTGAAAGCCCAATATGGAAGGTGTTTTACTAGTAGATTCATCAAGGCTCACAAAAGTTCAAAATGATTGACAATAGACAGCAAACTGAAATAAAAGGTTGTTACCATCAGAAGGGCTTGACAGATGGCTATGACAATCACTCCTTGGCTTCCAGCCAAGTGGAGTCCTGGGATGCCAAGATAATCCAGTGTATCTCCCTGTCAAACAATAAAAGTAGGGCAAAGAAAATAATTGGATCAGTGACAACATTCCCCAGCACATGCTTCTTAAATTAACATTTTAAATAAGTCTATGAAATTATCAATATGTAAGTTTATTTGCATATTCATATAAACTTAGGCTAGAAAGTTGATATGTTTAATGGTGAAGACACAATCAATAGATTATGCTAGAGTGTTCAATCTTCATAACAAGTTATCCTCTAGGAAGAAGGCAGACCGAAAAAATTCACTAATTGATTTTGGTCGATTAAAGAACATTTGAAGTTTGACCTGAAAGTTTTATTGGGTGCAAACAATACTCTCTCTCAAGTCAATAAAACAAATTACAAGAAGATATATAGCCCAAAAAAAAATCTGAAAAACCCTACCCAAAAGACAAATGTACTCCTATTATAAAAACTTATATACACTCTCACATCCCCCTCAAACTCATGATGTGAGCATCAACTGTGATTCTATCTCTTGTAATAACAAAACCCAATAACTTTCCAATTATTACCCCCATAAAGCATTTCTGGAGATTCATCCCCTAGAGAGCATCAAGAGTTTGTCAAATAAGAATCGAAAACAAGTTGAAGTGTAAAATTTGGTGAAAAAGTCTGCAAGCTATAGCAAAGATACAAACAATAAGTGTCTAGCTGCAGATGTTAATAAACAAAATGACAATCAATTTTAATATGCTTCATATGCTCATGAAATACTAAATTGTGTGCAATCTGGATAGCACTTGTAGTAGGAGAGGAGGGAACAACACCCATATCAGCTAAAAGCCTACGAAGTCAAACTATCTCTACAGTGGTGTGTGTTATAGCATGACACTCATCCTCACTAGTAGAACAAGAAATAAGAAAATCACTCAAAAAAACACAAAAACCAATAGTAGACTTGTGATCAATACTATCACCAGCCCAAGTAGCACAAGTATAGCCATGCATAGATATTAGTATCGTACGATACACAATACGTATCGTACGATACGTCACGATACATAGGTAAAACGATACGAATTGGAGTTTTGTATCGTTGTTGCATAGTATCGTCCGATACACGATACGTTTTTACAATATGATACATATCGATCAATACAAACGATACGCAAAATCTCTGTTTTTTTTTTTGGGACCAAATCGTTGACAGCCATAGAATAGAGAAAATGTCAAAGAAAATGCAAGAGATGAAGACAAGAATTACCAATCCACCAAACCCACAAAACACCCAAGCAAAAGCAAATTGAAAAAATTGAAAAAAATAACAACACTAACTAGATGAAACCCTAGGTTGATTTTTAACACTAACCTGTTAGTCTCACAATCTCTCTATTCATCGTTGTGCGCTGCGACCACGAGGTACCAGCAACCAAGTATGTTCTTCTTCTTCTTCTCCCTCTCCGACACCGACACCGACACCAAAACCAACATCAACATCGCCATCGCCTCTTTTCTCTATCTCTGTGTGTGCGCTTTTTTTTGTTATAAGTATAAAAAATTATATTTAATACCCCATTAAAAAATTACATTTAATACTCCATTAAATTATAACTTTTTACTTTTAAGTATATCTAAGTACCACTAATTTAATTTGATACCCTTTATTATTTTTTAATATCAGTAAATTATATTGGTAACTTAAATAGTAGGTGAAATATTAATGAAAAACGTTATGTTTTTATGAGTCTAATTTTTTTTCAAAGGTATATATATTTTATTATTGGTTATTTAAAATTGCGTTGTATCTTACGATACACGATACGATACACTATTTTTAAAAAAAGATATACCTTCGGATACATGATTTGACAACTATGTAGGCAAGCCAGAGAAGAGGTCAATGACAATAAGCTTTGAAATATGGTGCCACGTACATACGAAGTAAGGCAGTCCAATGAGTGTATTAGTTTCTTTTTTTGGGTTAATAGCATTTTTAGTCGCTAAAGTATACGTGTTTTGTTAATTTGGTCCTCATTGTATCAATTTTATCATTTTGAACCATAAAATATTCATGTCCAAATGGTCCCTACACTGATGGTTCATTAAGTTTTTAGTAAAAATGATCACGTTTTGATCACATAATATCATCTGAAAGAATGACATGTGTTCACTTCCGTTAAAAAACGTGTGGTTCGTAAAAAACGTGTGATAAAATTCCCTTGATCACTTTCGTTATGTTTGTGGAAGGACTATTTAAACACGAATTAAATATGACCAAATTGACAAAATTAAAATAATGAGGACCAAATTGATAAAACATTCATACTTTAAGAACTAAAAAAACTATTAACCCTTCTTTTTTGTATTCCTCTAAAATAATATTCATGGTATTCAATCCGCTAGTACGAGGAACTGAGACAAATTGACGAAAATATGAATTGCATATGCAATATCTAGGCGAGGAACAATAAGATAAATCAAATCAACCAGTTCACAACACAATGTAGGATCATCAAGAAGAATGTCATCAAAACTAGAGAATGTGGCATTTTAGGAATAGCAACAACCTTATCATTTGTTAAGTGGACACAATGAATAAGCTCATTAGCATACTAAGACCAAGATAAAAGTTGGCCTTTAGAAGAACAAGCAACCTCAATACCTAAGAAATAACATAGATGACCCAAAACCTTCATCTCAAACTCAAGTAAAAGATGTCGCTCACTTTGTCAACAATAACAATATTACGATCAGTGATGATCATATCATCCACATATAATAATAAAAGAACCAATCCGTTGGTAAACGACAAATAAATAGAGTGGGATCATGAGCACTAGAAACAAAATCAATTTGAGTGAAAACAATTTGAAAAGGTTCATACTAGAATCTGGGGGCTTCCTTTAGACCAAAGAGACCCAACACAAGCGATAGTCATAACCATAGTTGTTAGTATACGTATTGTATGATACAGGCTTAAAACGATACGGATCGTAGTTATGTATCGTTTTTGCACTGTATCGTCTGATACACAATACGTTTTTACGAAACGATACGTATTGGTACGATACGCACGATACGTGCAAAGGTTGGGTTTTTTTTTTTTTGATGGAATGACGTCGTTTTGTGCCAAGAGTCTGATTTTTTTATCCCTATAACCGCTAAAACGTCGTCGTTTCAGTGGCTAAGGTTTACAAAAAAAATAAAATCCCTCTTTTCCTTCTTCGTTATTCGCTGTTCTTCAACTCTGGGTCGCTGGGTTCTTCAGCCTTCGATGACAACTCCAAGGTGTTCGCTGGTCTTCGACTCTGGGTGTTCTTCAGCCTTCGACAACGACTCCTTGGTGTTCATTGAGATACCCATTCATTTATATATTTTTAACATCAAGTTGGAATAGAGGCCATTAATAAACTGCTGCAACAAAAATAAAAGTGCAAACAATAGTCATTTTGGCAACTCAAGCAAAAATTTTCTCATAGCCAACACCTTATTCTTGAGAAAACCTTTAACAAATAACCAAACTTTATAATGCTCAAGGCAACCATTAGAATGAGTCTTTACCTTGTAAACCCATTTTGTAACCAACTACATTTTTACTTGCAGTCAAGAACTAAATCCAAAGTACCAACCTTTATCACCTTTATCAAGTGCAGTCAATTCATCATACATTGCATTAAAACAGAGGCTCAAAATAAAAAAGAATAGCAATAAGAAAAGCATGATAAGAATGAGACGACCAAGCATCAACAAAACCAAGTCTCATAGGATGCTGTCGTTCAAGTTGAGTGGATTCCATAGGTTCAGAGCTAGGAAACAGGATACAGCCATGGGCGTCGTATCCGATATGATACGGACATGGAGATACGACAAAATTTTAAAATATAAGACATGTGTAAGTCGAGGATACTACTAATTAAAACAATATAATATTTTTTTATATATATAATAACATTAATAATCAAATTGTGAAATTAATTAATATTTTATAACTTGACAAATGAGTTAATATTAAATTTAATAAGTGTACTAAATGTTATGAGCAGTGAGTTGGGGGAGGGGGGTAAACCTAATTGGTTGTGGGCTAGACTAATAAGAAGTCTAATTCTTCAGGGGGGACACCACACCACCATAACAAAGAGACTGTGAGAAAGAAAGAGAGAGAGAGGAAAAGAAAACGACGCTGCCAGCATCTAGGGCAAGCCGATCACACCAATCGCACAGAGAGAGAGAGAGAGAGAGAAAAAAAAGACAGAACGATACTGCAAGCATTTAGGGCAAGCTGATCACACCAATCGCACAGAGAGAGCGCCAAAGAGAGCCAACCACACCAATTGCACAGAGAGAGAGCCAATCACACCAAACCCATCTATGAGAGATCTGATTGCATCAGACCTCCAGAAGCATCAAGAAAAAGAATCCCAAAGTACCCATGTTTGATCTTAGGTCTGAAACGAGTCGTATAAGTAGAGGAAGATGACATTTGTGGCTGATCTCAGGTCTATAACGTCTTCTACCCCTCTTTTTTTTTTAGGTTTCAATAAAGATCTTTTGTCGTATCCAAGCCGTATTCGTCCACAAAACCAGCTTTATCACTGTTCAGGACACTTGTGGAAGTGTCTGACATGTGTCTGGCTGTGTCCAATGCGTATCCGTATCGGACACGTGTTCGACACTGCCACGTCGACCTTCGGAGGAGTATCCGTGCTTCCTAGGTTCAGAGTTTGGCTCGTTAGAGTTGATACTCACAGAATGTAGAAGAGGTAAGTTTTTTTCGAGAATAGACCAAAGAATAAGGAGAGAGAACAGAAGGACAAGAAAGAGAAAATAAAGAAGAAGCATCGAACAAAGAAATAATATCATAAACATCAAGAGAGGGGATACACTCTTCATCAGACTCATCCAAATGAAAAGGGTCAATACGCACAAGTTCATCTCTTGAAACAGGAGTTATTTTAAAAGGAATCGTGAAATATGAAATGGGCTTAAGGAAAACATACCGACAGACATACAACTGTTTAGACACGGGATCATAACACTAACATCTCTTTTGA